TGCAAAAAATAAGATCAAAGAGAATATTTTAGCAAATAATGCTTGTTTTTTGTCTGATATTGGTGCATGCTGAGCCTCTCTCGTCCATCCAGCTGTTTATTTAATTATTTATTTTATTAAAAAAGTTTTTATTTTCCATTTATTCATACAAAATACAATTAAATTCCTAACCATTGGTACCGCCTGCCCATTCTCCCCAGGCTGCGTCCACCCTCTCTAATCCTTCCCTACTTCCCTCCTCTTTCTCTCCTCCCCTCCTACTCTCTTCCCCTCCCCTTCTCCTCTAACCATCCTACTTCCTCCCTACTCCTTCCTCCCCTCTCATCCCTCTCACACACATGAACGCAGCATAGGGGAAATGCCCAAGCATTTACCATGAGTATATTATCATTACCCACCCACTCACTCACCCACCCACCCTCAACCCTCCCCCCCTCACTTCCCAGAGCAGAGTACAGGGTTATTAATAAGAAAGTTAACAATAATAAAAAAAGAAAAAAGAAAAAAAAGAGAAAAAAAATCATACTTAACCTTTAACTCCCCTTAAATTAAGTCATATAAACAGATCTCTACAACAGTTACTATAAAATTTACTCATAAAATAAATGAAACTTTATAGTCCCATATTTTTTCTGAATATAATCTATCCATCTTCTCCATACAATAATATATCTTTCTTGTGTATGATCCTTCAAATAAGCAGAAATTTTTGCCATTTCTGCAAAGTTAGAAACTTTAAATATCCATTCTTCTAAAGTAGGCAACAAGTCCTTCTTCCAATACGAGCCTACTAATAACCTTGCTGCAGTTAATAAATTCAACATTAAAGTAGTTTCTTTGTCATTTAAATCCACAAAGATACCCAATAGGAATAACTGAGGGGTGAACTTTATCTTCCTTTTAAAAATCTTTTGAATGTTCCACCAAATCATAATCCAAAAAGCCTTTACCTTTTTACAATTCCACCAAACATGAAAATATGTCGCATCCATATTACCACATCTCCAACATTTGGGTTGTAAATTTGGATACATACAAGATAATTTTTTAGGATCTAAATGCCATCTGTAAACATTTTATAAAAATTTTTCCCTCAAATTTTGAGCTTGTGTAAATCTAACATTTCTAATCCAAATTGTCTCCCATAAGTCCAATGGGATCGGATCCTGGATATTCTGAGCCCATTTAATCATACAGTCTTTAACCAATTCTGTTTCAGAGTCTAATTCTATTAAAACATTGTAAATTCTTTTTATATGGGCCTGACTCTGATCTTTAATCTGAATAACCAGATTTCCATCTTCTAGTGTTATTTCTTCTTTTTTATCTACAGTCCACCTGTCCACTATTTGTAAATATTGAAACCATGACTGTAGAATATTTTCTTGCCTTAATACATCTAGAGATTTTAAATGCCAATCCGAACCTGACCAAGTTAATAATTCTTTATACGAAATTTTATCAAAGTTCATCCCCTTAGAAATCCCCTCAATTGCATGTCTAGGAATCCCCCAGATAGGTATTTTATAGTTTAACCTATAATAATACTTTTTCCAAACTCGAAGTAAGGCACTCCTCAAAATATGTGATTTGAAAGCCCGGTCCACTTTCTTATTAAAAATTAAATATGCATGCCAACCATACATTAAATCCCACCCTTCAAGAACAAGAATATCCTTATTTGTTAAATTAAGCCAATCACTTATCCAAGTTAAGGTGGCTGCATCATAATATAATTTCAAGTTAGATGCTTTAAGTCCTCCTCTTTCTCGGGCATCTTGCAAAATCTTAAACTTAACCCTTGGTTTTTTCCCAGCCCAAATGAATTTATTGATACCCTTCTGCCATTCCTCCAAATTTACATCTTTTTTTAAAATAGGTATCATCTGAAACAAGAAAAGAAACTTTGGTAGAACATTCATTTTTACAGCTGAAATTCTCCCCAACAATGACAATTGCAGTTTTTTCCAGTCATTTAAATCCTTTTGCACTTCATAATTATTTTTATACAATTTTCCATTTGAGGCAGTTAAATATACTCCCAGATATTTAACCTTTTTCACCATCTGAAAACCTGTGGCTTTAACCAAACTTTCCTTGTCATTGGCTAACGTATTCTTAGATAATATCTTAGTCTTATGGTTATTGAATTTAAAACCAGAAACTTTTCCATACTGTGTTATAAGTTCTAATAGACAATCAACCGCTCTAATCGGTTGTTCCAAAATCAAAACCAAATCATCCACAAAAGCCCATAATTTATATTCATTTTTTCTTATCTTTATGCCCTTGATTACCATTGATTCTCGAATCTGGATCAACAAAATCTCCAATGTCAAAACAAATAACAATGGAGATAATGGATATCCTTGTCTTGTCCCTTTTTCAATATTAAAAGTCTCAGTCAATCCCCTATTAACAACAATTTGAGCAGATTGTTGCTGATATATAGCTTTAAGTGCATGTAAAAAATTATCCCCAAAATTTAAAACCCTGGATTCTGATTCCTTTTAGCATTTGTTTATCTGCTAATCCTTCTTCGGTTTTGGAGGAATCAAGACCTTGCTGGAATACAGTCTAGCTCCATTCCAAGTCTTTTTGTGGACTACACTGTCAAAATACCAGGATACGTCTTCTCTCCCTTGCCTGGGTGAAGCAGAAGATGCTATGGACCATAGGTAGACTATTAAATGACTGACTTTTCTTTTTTTAAAATATCTTTGATTTGTTTATAAAATAAATATTCAGTGGAAACACGTGGACAATTTTCTGATGTTTTACATGTTTTACTCTTTATAAATTTGTGTGATGTTTTCCTTTTGAGGAAAAGGCTGGTATGAAGTATGAAGTTCTATGAAAATTCTATATAGTATTTTCCAATTATTTTAAATCTAATAATCCAATTTCTCCTTGTCTCAATATCTCCCTTTAGCCCACTAGTTGACAGGTAATCAACACCACCATTTTAGAGGGTGAGAGGAAAATGTTCCCTTCCCTCTCTCCTCACAGGGGGAAGAGTTTTGAGGAAGCTTTTAACAGAAAAAGTACTTGGGGTAGAGAGAAGGTAAAATCTCACCCTTTTTCTCCATGTTGCTTTCAAGGTGCTTGTTAGTGAAGTTGGCTTCGGCTAGCAGCTTAATGATGGGCCATGTTGATAGCCAATCTTTTCCCCATCAGTTTGAAGAGCTGCCCCGGATCAAACGGGAGGGCTGCCACCCTTCCGCGGTCACTCGGGGGTCCTCTTCACGCTCGTCGCCCCTACAGGGTGACTTCCAACCCTCTTCAGAGTCCCTCGGTGAGAAAAAAAACAGATGGTGGAGAGAGTGATCGGTCTGCATGTCTGCCAGCGCTGCGATTGCAAACCAGAAGCCAAAGTATTTATAATTCTTGAGCGACAGGTGACAGATACTATTTCCCAGTTTAAGCCATTCACTGACTAATTCAACATGGGAACAAAAGGAATCTTCAAGGCAAGTAGCTGAATCACTTTATATGGACAGAAGCAAGCTGTGAGCCCCTCTAACGCTACCTTCTACCTGATCTGAGAATAAGATTGAATATTTCCTGCAGAATCTCTATACTTCAATTTTATGAATGCTAGGTGTGGGGCCCTCCTTGCAGTCTTAACTGATCATAGCTGCAGGTATAAAGAGAAACAAAGCTTATGGTCTACAGCAGGGCTCAGTTTAATACTGACTAGTATTAGTTGAGTCACTTGATCCTAATGACATTTATTTAGAAATACAATTTCCTGATATTTAAAGAAAACCCCTTCATGAAGATAAAACTGCAGTCTTAATTTTAAGCTCATAGTTCAAGAGCTATGAATATTTAAAGAAGAGAATAACCACCATCAATTCAATCAATTAACTGAAAATGGAGAGAAACCACAGAAAATATCTAAACAAGTGCAGAGGAACAGGAGGAATACAAGATCAACCTCTGAATGGCTGGAAGTACCATCCAATATGACCTCCTGTGCAAAACATCAATGTTTCTTGATCTTGTTGGCATCCATTATTCTCTGGCAACCACTGAGGTGCTTCCAGGCATCCCAGATGAGAATAGAGGGAATGATAATCCAGAGACTATTCAGAAAGACAAAGTAAAACCAGAAGTAGGTAGGGTGCCACTTCTCACTATGGCGAAAGCCATCACGGTATGCAGTGTAGAAGTAGAGAACGTCACCATATATATGACCTATGGTTAGAGATAGACAACATGGCTGATTAAAGTAGGAAGAAAAGATCAAAAGTGGACAAGCCAAAAAAGAAATGCAGTCAGGTGTATGGATTGATGGATGGATGCATGGATGCATGGATGGATGCATGGATGCATGGATGCATGAAAATTCACAAAGATAATAAAACCATCTCAGGCCAAACTGCAGAATTTGATGCAAGTGAAGAGAGTGAACTGGTGCAAGTTCTTTCCATTCAAGCCTTGCCCATTTTATTTTCCCAAGCTCAATTACTATGGCTGAGGGGAAAAGAGAAAAAAATGAATTAAAAATAAATGGGGAAAAGTAGAATTTAGCCATCCCTTGCAGATAAAATAGTCATGCTCATCAACCAGATCTTCCACTGAGCTGGGAGAACCCCACTGATAATACTCATCTCAAAAGTTCATAAATATGAGACTGGAAAACAAATTTCATTCCCCGATATGCTCTTTTAAGGCATGAATAGAATTGAATGGGATGTTTTTTTCTAAAATAATTTAGAAATATAAAAGATTAGGATCCTTAAAAAGAAATGCAGGTATTCTTTTAATTTTGTTGTACTCACCCTATTAAAAAGTTGTCTTGGCAACAGAAAATATATTAAGAGAACTCATGCAAAAATTGTGAACATCTCAGCTATATTTATGTTTGCATTATGTCAAATCATCCTTTCCCTATCCCCGTACTCAGACCAGGTACTTGTGTTCAAAATTGCTTAATGCTGGATCTTTGCAGAAATATCCAGACCTTTGCCTATCATTTCAAAGTTAATACTTACATCATATATCTGCTGTCACCTTTGCCATATTCCTTAACTGGAAGATATAAAGAGAAATTAGTAGAAGAAGAAATTCATGGGAACTGCAGTAGAGAGAGTTTGTGAATTTCCCTGTATTTTTCTTAAATATTAATTATAAAAATAAGATAAAAGGCAAATAGATGCTTGGAACATCCAGAGGTGCAGAAGTGACACCTGTCTCCAACTCCTTAAACCAAACACATCTGTTCTGAAATTTCCAAGTACTTCCTATTCTAGAAGGCAACATATAATGAATGTGAGATTATAAAGACCACATGAATGCTATCACGGCAGTAAAACTTTCTAAATACACGAGGACTTACTTTAGCCTAAAATCATGCTTTTTGGTAACAAATGTTACCAAATGTTACTATTGGCTTTCGAAAGCCGATAGGAATTGCTGCTGAGCGCGCCAAAACACCCGGACAGCAAACTTTGCATATGCAAGTTGCAGGAACTTTGCACCCCTCATTGCTACCCAACTACACCATCTCCTACTTAGTTCCACAGATAGCTGGAGGAGACTGGAGCGGTAAGTTTCTCTTGATCTTCCCTGTTCGGTTCGATACAGGGATGCACAGGGTAGGCGGTGGTGCTGGGGGGTGGCTGGGGGGTGGCTACAGGGCCGGAGCCGGCGCGACTGGTACTTTGCAAGCCGTGGGGCCAGCTCTACGGGGATGCGCAGGATGGACAGTCGTGCTGGGGGGCAGCTGCAGGGCCGGAGCCAGGGCAGATGGTGCTTTGCCTTTGCGAGCTGTGGGGCCGGCTCTATGGGGATGTGCAGGGTGGGCAGTGGTGCTGGGGGGCGGCTGGGGGGGTGGCTGCAGGGCCGGAGCTGGCGCAGCTGGTGCTTTGCCTTTGCAAGCTGCGGGGCCGGCTCTCCGGGAATGTGCAGGGTGGGCGGTGGTGCTGGGGGGTGGCTTGGGGGTGGCTGCAGGGCCGGAGCCAGCATGGCTGGTGCTTTGCCTTTGCAAGCTGTGGGGCCAGCTCTACGGGGATGCACAGGGTGGGCGGTGGTGCTGGGGGGCGGTTGCAGGGCCAGAGCTGGCTCAGCTGGTGCTTTGCAAGCTGCAGGGCCGGCTCTCCACGGCAGGGCAGCGGTGCTGGCGGAGCGGCTGTGGGCGGGGGCGCGGCGGGCAGTTGATCTTTCATGGGCTGCACCAGCTGGTGGTCTACGCAGTGCTTACCTGCTCTGCCACCACCTCACCCTGCGCACCTACGTGGCCGTCCTGGAGCACCTGGCTCACAACACCTGCCTCCACCGTCCACCCCTGCGCAATTCAGCCGTATAGATTTTTGGACAAGTGAGAAATCGAGATTGAATGTTGATACTCTAGCTGCAGCACTTGCCATAAAATTCAATATGAAGGATATTTCTTGTTCAGATATTTCCAATATATTGTTAGAAGATGATACATTGACAAAAAATATTCATTCAATGAAAAAGTACTCATTTAAATAATTAATAGGCATCTAAGTGTAATTACAATATAAAATGTTATTGTTACAAATGGTTTTTATTATGCATTTATCATATTATAGTGTATTCTGCATTATTGTTGCAATAAATACAATGTTTCTTTTATTTATGATATTTTTTCTTCAATTTATTCGTGTCCTCCTTTTTGTTGTAAAAAAGTTGGTCACCTTACATTATAGCTATATGTTTTTTACCTAGACTTTTATAAGGATTAAGTGATTTGATACTGCAGATTCTGTACTGCTGGCTCCAATTCCCAGGAACCATTATGGGTAATGATATTTCAGCTGACATACTATTATCATTTCTGCAAAAAATGCAGCTTTCTAGGTATATATATTAATATAAATATATAAACCAACTTGTCCATTTTAAAAACTTTCAGGTATGCTGGATTTCATTTCTCATTTTCTCTCACATATGTGGAAAGCATTAGGTTGAAGATGCTCCATGGATTAATCTCAACAAATACTAACCTGTCTTCAATCAAACTTGTTTTATCTACAACAGATACTGTTACATCTTGTTGTTGATATACATGCTATATCTAATTGGACCATGTTCTATGTGAAGGCTAATTCAGGAGTTTGGGGAAGAAAAAGGAAATAATTAGGGAACAGATTGGTTAAAGTGCTGGTCTAGAAAGCAGGAGACTGTGATTGACTTTAGGCCTGTTAGTCTGTCAGGCTGAACCACTTCACACATACTTCTTTTGAGGAGTATTAGATATGGAGGATGGAGTATTAGATTTGTTCACTGCCTTGAGTTGACACATACAGTGAGGCGAATTTTAAAAAATGTAATAATACAGATACAAAATGAGCTGAGCCATATGGCAAACATCTTCCAACCACTGAGGGAAATACAGAGGGTTACATCTGCAAAATATTAGTATCCTCTTACATAGTTCAATTCAAGATGAGTTTTTTTCCCCAGGGCTCTCTTTAATGCTCTCCATCCAGCCAACCTGGAGTGCAGACTGTAAAACTTTTCAATAAAACAGAGGTGATTCAAAAGCACAGGAGGGCACACATATGTCACTTGTGCAGTGCTTTATGTCAAATGCATTTTCTCAGCATCATGGTGCAGTTGCAGAGAGCAGCCAGGCGACCACAGGGAAAAATGCATTGCTTTAAAGTAGTCCCTTTTCACATTCCACTGTACCCCACAGCCCTAGCATGCAACCTTTAACACAGGTTCCCTAAGGATAATTATATGTGGAAATCTATTTGTGGCCTTATTTCACTTTTCACATCATATCAAGTTCCTATATGTGGGACTTTTCTTATGAACTATTAAGAATCAATAGCTCTACATGCACAAAAAAATAGACAGAGCTCTATATGGAGAGCATAGCAGAAGCATTAAACTATTCTAGTGTTATAACAGCTGAATCCAGTTTTATCTGCACATTTTATATTTTCCTCTCACTCTTATTGCACAATTGTAATAGGTGCCTTTCAAAGGTACAGACAAAAAGCTGCCTGCAGATACAAAAAACAATCAATCTGGAGAATTTGGAAATCTATTTCTGGAGTGATTGCAGGATAGTGCTATCTCAAAAATAACCACATACATACAAGTAGTCCTCATTTAATGTCCACTTGTTCACTGGCTGTTTGAAGTTACAACAGTGCTGAAGAACTCACAATTGTCCTTGTAGTTCTGGCCATCATAGCAGCCCTATAATCAGGTTAATGTGGGTCAGGTACTTGCACCTGGCTTGCAATTATATCACAACATCCTGCTATTATGTGACTATCATTTGCAACCTTCATTGCTGGCTTCCAACAAATGTTAACAGGGAAGCACAGTCTAGCACAATACCAACAAAGAGGAAAAATAACAGCTCTCAAAAGAAACCAGCATGGCTGCATAAAGAACTCTCTGACAAATTGAAAGATAAAAAGGACAAGTATAGAAAGTGGAAAGAGGGGAACATAACTAAGTCAGAATATCAGCAAATAGCCCGAGCCTGCAAAGATGAAGTGAAGAAAGCCAAGGCTCAAAATGAACTGAGGCTTGCGACCAAAGTCAAAAATAACAAAAAAAGCTTCTTTCAACATGTAAAAAACAAGAAAAAAGTGAAGGAAATGAGGGGTCCATTAGTGGGTGGAAGTGGCAAGAAGGTGACAAGCAACAGGGAGAAAGCAGAACTATTTAACTCATTTTTTGCATCTGTCTTTACACAAAGGGAAAAAACAGACAACCTATCAAAAATAGTGCCACAAAAAACAAAACAGAAACACAAGTTAAGATAGGCAAGAAAATCGTTAGTGAGCACCTGTCCAGCCTAGATGAGTTCAAATCGCCAGGACCAGACGGATTACACCCCAGAGTTCTCAAGGAACTGGCAGATGTGATATCGGAGCCACTGAACTATATTTTTCAAAGATCCTGGAACACAGGGGAACTACCAGAGGACTGGAAAAGAGCTGATGTAGTTCCCATCCTCAAAAAAGGAAAAAAATGGATCCAGGAAATTACAGACCTATCAGCCTGACCTCAATACCTGGGAAGATCCTGGAAAAGATAATCAAACAACGAATCAACGAACACCTAGAGGCAAACAAAGTCATTACTAAAAGCCAACATGGGTTTGTCAAAAATAGATCATGCCAGACAAATCTTATTGCATTCTTTGACCAAGTGACAAAATTAGTGGATCAGAGGAATGCTGTGGACATAATTTACTTGGACTTCAGTAAGGCATTTGATAAAGTAGATCACAACCTACTACTTGACAAGATAGAAAAATGTGGGGTAGACAGAACCACCACCAGATGGATCCGTAGCTGGCTGACCGGCCGTACTCAGCGAGTGGTCCTCAATGAAACTGCATCTATATGGAGGGAAGTGTGTAGTGGGGTGCCCCAGGGCTCTGTTCTGGGCCCAGTACTCTTCAACATCTTCATCAACGATTTGGATGAAGGGATAGATGGGGAACTCATCAAATTTGCAGATGACACCAAGCTGGCAGGAATAGCCAACACTCCAGAAGACAGGCTTAAGATACAGAAGGATCTGGACAGACTTGAACACTGGGCACTAACTAACAAAATGAAATTCAATGGTGAAAAAAGCAAGGTTCTAAATTTAGGCAAGAAAAACCAAATGCACAAGTACAGCATAGGTGGCACCATGCTCAATAGTAGTAACTGTGAGAGGGACCTCGGAGTCCTAGTAGACAATCACGTAAATATGAGCCAGCAGTGTGCTGCAGCTGCCAAAAAGGCCAACACAGTGCTAGGCTGCATTAACAGAGGGATAGAATCAAGATCACTGAAGTATTAATACCACTCTACAATGCCTTGGTAAGGCCACACTTGGAATACTGCATCCAGTTTTGGTCACCACGATGTAAAAAAGATGCTGAGACTCTAGAAAGAGTACAGAGAAGAGCAACAAAGATGATTAGGGGACTGGAGGCTAAAACATATAAGGAACGGTTGCTAGAATTGGGTATGTCTAGTTTAACGAAGAGAAGGACAAGGGGGGACATGATATCAGTATTCCAATATCTCAGGGGCTGCCATAAAGAAGAGGGAATTAAGCTATTTTCCAAAGCACCTGAAGGCAGGACAAGAAGCAACGGGTGGAAACTAATCAAGGAGAGAAGCAACCTAGAACTAAGGAGAAACTTCCTGACAGTGAGAACAATTAATCAGTGGAACAGCTTGCCTCCAGAAGCAGTAAATGCCCAACACTGGAAGTTTTTAAGAAGAGACTGGACAGCCATTTGTCCGAAATGGTGTAGGGTTTCCTGCCCGAGCAGGGGGTTGGACTAGATGACCTCCAAGGTCCCTTCCAACTTTACTACTATTACTAAAGCCACCAGGAGGTTGCAAATGGTGATCATGTGATTGAGGGATGCTACAACCATTCAGGAGTCATCTAAAGATGGCAACTGGGACTGCATTAACTGTTCTTATAAGTCAGGGGTCTTCAGACTTGGCCCTTTTATGACTTGTTGACTTCAACTCCCAGAATTCCTCAGCCAGTGTGCCTGTCTAAGGAATTCTGGGAGTTGAAGTCCATAAGTCATAAAAGGGCCAAGTTTGAAGACCCCTGTTATAAGTTGTTGTGGTCATGTGACAATGACTTATGGCCACATCAGTTACACTGAATTTGCTGGTCCAAGTTTCTATTGGTAAGCAAAGACTGTCTACACAAGTGTCACTATCACCTATTTGTGTTCTGAAGTCTGATTCAAGTACACAATAGAAGGATTTACTGATGTGTCATTTGCTCCATTTATGCATCATGCGGATCCTCCTGCCCACCCTCCACTTTCTGCCCATGCTAACCTGCTGCATCAATTTTTCCCCAAAATCAAGAGACAGAAACCAGATAGACACACATCTTACAGAGCTGCGAGACAAAGGATTGATCCCCTGGGATTTCTATATAGTAAAGGGCAAACCAGCCCTCGATGACAGTATGAATAAAAACACAGATGGTAAACCAGCAAATGATCAAGGCGCACCAAGTTCCAAAAGGGCCCCATATCTTGCTTTGCCAACTTGCTACGAACCAAGTCAATAGCAAGAGAATTCCTGAAGTAGAGAATACGAATGTCAAGAATTGCCATGAGGGTTGATCATTTGGGATGTAATTTTGGAGTTCCAAATTCCGAGGCCAGTATGGGTGGTGGACAACATCAGGTTTTGCTTCCAGAACCATACTGGGTTGAGAAAGTGTGAGTTGAGCCAGTGAAAAAGGCAAGGGCTTTTTCTGGTAGAAAATGACCCACCTGCATTAAATACAGAGAATTAGTTAAGCACAACCTATGATCAGATTCTTTCAGTTTGATATTCTTTCGTCCGCCAGTTTGGAGGGGAACGCCGGTTCTAACGGGAGAGCTATCACTCTCTTGCAATCCAGCGAAAGCACTTCCTTGCTGGTCACCTCTTCAGGGCAACTTTTTGACCCTTTTAGCCCCACCCCCCAGTGATGCGAAACTGAACTAGAAAGATGGAGTTCATCTTCCAAGCGTCCATGGTGGCTGCATCGGTAGCCATGGGCAACCGGTAGCTCTTCTGCTCAATCCGGGGCAGCCCTCCAAACCAGTGGACGAAAGACCGGCCATAGAAATATGGCCTGTCACTAAGCTGCAGACAGCCAAAGTCAAACTTACCACCAGACACCTATAAAGCAGCGCAGATGAGACTGGGTGAGGTCTGAACCTCTCTTCAATCCTCTTTTTTTTATAGAGATTTTATTGATTCTCTTTTGCATACATATGTTAATTTTCCAATCAACGAGCTGTCTGGGGTTAGCTATGCTAATACATATTTGATTCCTAATCCTTCATTCTTTCCTCTAACCAACGATAAAATAAATCCCAAGTTTGGTAGTAGTCTGTGGCTTCTTTATCTTTCAATCTCATAGTTAATCTGTCCATCTCTGTGCATTCCAATATTTTTCTGATTATTTCTTCTTCTGATGGCCATCCTTCATTCTTCCAATATTGCGCACAGATTATTCTCACTGCTGTGGTAATGTGTAAAATTAAATATAAACTCTGCTTATTAATCTTTTCAGGTATTATACCTAGTAAAAAAGTTCATGTTTAAAATCAATGTGTTCACCTAATATTTTTTCTAACCACGTATGTATCTTTTCCCAATAAGCCTTAGCTTTGCCACATGTCCACCAAATGTGATAGTACGTGCCTGGGTTGTGCTTACATTTCTAGCATCTATCTGACATATTTTTAAACATTTTTGCTAATCTTGCTGGTGGCAAGTGCCATCTATGAAACATTCTATACAAGTTTTCTTTATATGAAGTTGACATTGTTAATTTGTAATTTCTCTCCCATAGCTTTTGCCATTTTTCTAGTTCTATATTGTAGCCAAAGTTTTTTGCCCATCTTATCATTGTTTAACTTGTTCACTTTCCATTTCCAAAATTAACCCGTATAAGCACAGATTTTCTTCAACATGTATACATTCTGTCTAAATAAACCATTGTTTAGCATCTGTGTCTCCGACAAGTGTGATAAAAAACCTGCAGTTATCCAGATCGAGGGTTAGTGTATTGCATGTTTTCTGAGCGCTTCCGATCGGGCTGTACTACCTGCCAACAAAAGGTGATGCGCTGGAGACTGGAAGGGTCCCTCTATTTCACAGCGCTCTGGCTGCAGTGCAATGTGGATGAGGGGCACGAAATTGCAGGCTAAGAGGGTTAGAGAGGCTGGGAACAAAGTCACCTTACAGAAATGGTATAGGGTTTCCTGCCTGAGCAGGGGGTTGGACTAAATGATCTCCAAGGTCCCTTCCAACTTTTATTATTATTGTTGTTGTTATGTAAGTTGGTGAGAAATAGATAAAACGTGTATCCTGAATATTAGACTTTGTGATGAATTGTGATAAAGGGAACTTTGGTTACTTAAAACTTGGAAACTATAAATATTAAATGTTAAATTTAAATATTAATATTAATGGGAAACTAAAAATTGGGAAAAAAGGAATTAGGACATTGATTGTCCATAAAGACTGAATGTTAAAATAACTAGGATATGTATAAGCTAAAAATTATTGATAAATATAAGAATGTTATTTTTATTTAATTAATATAATAAGAATTGTATTAGTTTAAACATGAGACAGTAAATACTAAGGGGAAAAGTGAGGAAATATTTAATGTGGTAGTTTGAGACTTATACTAATGATACTTGTATGTCATTGAATTATTGATTAACTCAGCCGCCATGTTGCTTTTTAAATACTTAAATGTAAAATTAGAAAATCAATAAAAGATAAAAAAGAAACCTAACAGTTTACTTAATAATTATTTTTGTTACTTATCCTTTGTCAGATGACAATCTTACACACACACACGAATTATCCTTCAGTTTCAATTTGAGACAAGGAAAGAAAAATCTTTTTCAAGACTTTTTTTTTCTGTAGCAGAAGATTCTTGCCTTTGCTTTCTCCGTTCTGAGATTTAGAAACTCAAACTGCACCCATCATTCCAACTACGGAGGAGAGCCCTGAATTTTGGACTCCCATATAATCTTTGATCATAAGACAAACATTACAAAATCTATAAATCAGCCAGCAAATCTTACACACAGGTCAGTTTTTCAGATAACAAAAAAATTATCTCAAACCTTACTCAACCTCTGCACCAAACGCTTCTCATCCGTTTCTTAAATCCTCCCAGTAAATCCAATAGCACCCTCAGCCAGTATGGCAACAGACAGGTAAGCCAGCCAATCAACATCTGCTACGACAAAGGCAGGGCTCTTATGCATACAAACTGTTAACTTTAGGTGGTATATTCCCCATGAGAAGGACTACCTGTCATTGCAGCAAAAAAAGCTCATTCCTTACCAGTGTGCTGGATCAGTTTATTTGCAGATGAAGAGGAGGGGGCAACAAATCCAAGGTTTAGATATCATAACCATCATTTCAAAATTAGTCCATGAGATTCAACTATTGTGGTTGATATTCCCAAAAAGACATTCTATGTATTGGAAAATACGTATCTCCCAAAATCCTTTCAGCTGAGCTGACCTTAGACTTCTGTTTGTAAAATAGGATCTTCAAGATTGTGTATGGCTTAATACTGTAATACTTGTGTAATACTTAACACTGTGAAAACCTGCTCTACAAATAGGAGTAGTTTACTCTGCAGAGCAGTGGTTCTAAACCTATGGTCCACAGACCACTGGGAGGAGTCGCAATGTCACAGGTTCTGCGAAGGCTTGAAGAAATGTCATTATTTAAATCTTGAGTTAAGTCTTGGTGGTGAAGAAGTATATTAAGTATTTAAACGGGGTCCATGGTGAAGAAAAGGTTGAGAACTGCTGCTCTAGAGGAAACTCCAAGCTTAATAGCAGTGTATTCTACTACTGATTCATACTGCTAAAAGATTAGGACTGTAACCGTTTTTTAATCTATCGGATGCATTCAGGAATTCATGGCAGGTGAAGAAAGCTGGACTTGGCCCTGTTGCCAAGACGCCCATCTTAGCCTATGTCAATGATTAATTCAGTGACTAATGATGAGAAATGAGGAAGTCATTGGCTGGGGAGTGGTACCTGTCCAGGTGAAATAAAAATGGCGCGTGACCCAAACTGCTCCCTTATCAGCGATCAGTTGCCTCTGTCATCCGAGATCTTCCAAGGTGAGGATGGGGAATTTGTGGAAAGCTGCAGCCCGGATAAGTTGAGGTTCTGGTAATTCAATATAATAAGACTTCCAGCAGGAATTAGGAATGGAGATTAGAATCTGCTCTCATCTCTCCAAATCACATTTGCCTATCTCCTACAGTTATCAAGGCTCAGATCTGGATTTTCTTAATCCCAGTATTCCTGGGTCTTGTGCAAGTTGGTCTATTTCTGGAACAAACAGGCTTCTTCTTACGACATGGCAAGAGTTCCCATCGCACCAGTGTCTTACTTTGGATCCTGGGAGTTTATCCGGTAAGAATGGAGAGAAGGAACCCCACCACTAAGCATATGTTCTTGAATATAAGGTGTACAAAACTCATGGAATTCCTCCATAGAGTAGTTTATTTAGCAAATTTGTATCCAGTAGCAGCTGCCACAAGCAAGCTCCTTTTTTTAACAGGACTGCAGCAAAGCATAGCTCAAGATCACTCCTCATAATTTATTCAAGAAAAAATAGGGTTATGACATACAGGCCATGATTCAAGTCTTCTTGTGTTAGATCCTTCAGTAAGAGCCACTTATTTACAAACCCACACCAGTTGTTGCTGGAAGATAGAATGGTGGCCTTTGCTTATAGCAGCAAAATCACCACGACCTCTTCATTCAGGAGCCACTAGATCTGAGTGCTAATTGTAACCATCCTTCACTTGGTTCAATATACATCTCGGAATACCAGTAGGTCAAACTGGACAGTGAAAATGTCACACTACGGGGAAATAGCATGTATAAATTCTACCTAGATGTTTGTTCATCTTTTTTGTGGGTGGAGTAGCAATCAAAAAAGAAGAGTGTTTCGTAGTAATCTCAGGAATGGTAGAGTGCATAGGAGTACTTGTAGGGTGCCTTGCTGGCTAGGGACAAACTACAATTTAAAAGGTACAAATCTATCTTTATATTGTCCTCAAACAGGTATTCAGCCTCACCTCCCTCATCTGTTTGTACATCCCTCGAGCTTCCTTTGTCTGTAACTTTGTGGCTTCCATGTAAGTTTCTTTGCATGGGGACAATCGAGGGGTGGGTGGGGTGGGAAATGCAGAAAACTCCAACTGCACCAACGTCTGCTCCAGCTCATCAAAGGAATGGTTGTACTAGCAGTTTTCACCCTTGAAAACAAATGCACGGAATTTCAGCATTCTAACCGCAGGCATGGAATTATGCCGTGTTATTTATCTGAGCTAGGCCTTGTAGCGTAGTGTGCTTCAAATTTCAGTCTTGATCCTTTACAGTAAAAGTAGGAAATTGAATCCAAAGATGCCTTAGATTCTCAGCCATTTCTCCTGCACACTGGAAAATGTGGAGGGAAATATCTCTTCCTCTTCCTGAAGTCCTATCTGTTGTCCAGTGCATGAAAGTTGCCATCAGCATAAAAAAAACTCTGTCTCTGAGAGTCAAACTAGCTTCCTTGAATCTAACAGAATAACAGAGTTGGAAGAGACCTTGGGGGGTCTTCTAAACTAACCCCTTGCTTAAGCAGGAAACCCTACACCATTTCAGACAAATGGTTGTCCAATCTCTTCTTAAAAACCTCCAATGTTGGAGCACCCACAACTTCAACAGGCAAGTCGTTCCACTGATCAATGAGTATTGTGCCTTCTCCTTCAATGCAAGGAACTGAAGCATAACCAATACTTGTTGGTGCTCTTAGGTCACCCTTCCTTATCTTGGGTACCCTCCTGAGGTATGTTTTTTCCCCAGCAGAAGCTATTATAAGAATTCTGGGCAGCACTCAGATGAGAGAAGGCTGACCTCAGTGCAGTGCTTGCAAGCATTGCCACTCAGTATAGCCCCACCCATTCTTTGCCTTTCTTTGTAGAAGCAGTGGACTTCTGCAAGAGGAAACTTGCTCAGTGTGTCACCTGGCCAACCTGGCTGGCCAAATTAGTCTTGGAAACTAATGGTTCTCCAATCCTAGTCAGGGATAGCCTTTTCCAACTTTAGCTCTTCCTAACAGCTCCCATCACATTTAACTAAATCACTCCTGATTGTTATTGCCCATCCCACCTGGATAGTGCCACATTTAATATTAGCCTGCAACCGGGGAGGAATTGTAACTCACCATAATATTACTAATCTGGGCTAAGCCTTGAATGGGTTTCTATCACACAACAGAACATCTCCAAATGCATGCGTGCGTTAAAGGTGGTTCTGCCTCTGAGAAGACTGAAAACCTCTGTTCTCAAGAAGAGAAAGAAAAGAAAAACTAGCTTCATGACCAGGGCAGCTGCTTGTCCACAATCCAAATTTTGCATCTTTTAACTGATAGGAGCTCTCCAAAGACAGTTGATTTATTGACATTACAACTGCAGCCGCTCATTCTCTGCATGTTCATATTTGAAGCTCAGTAACTGCAGAATTTTCTGAGGGTGTCCTGCACCTATTGAAGAGTTTCTAGTCACCGAGTCTCAGGATCAAGAGGCTTTCAAAGAACTTGCAACTGCTACGTTTCCAAGTGAAGAGGGATATGGGAGTAATTTTCTTTTTCTAGCAAACTCAGTTGTGTTAAAACTTGGGTGGGGAAGGTGGTTATGTATGCAAATTCATGCGTTAATATCTGTAGTCATCTAACTTGCGTGCATGTAAATATGAGCCCTGATTTCTCAGTGCCTGTAGCCTATTGGGAGCCAAAACAGGTTCTTTTCTGCTGTTTTTGCTGGAGATGTTTGAGACTTTCTACATGGAAAGCATCTGCTCTCTAACGGAACAACAATTCTTTTGATTTTTGTTTACATAATAAAATGTATGGCTGGGCCATCTAGATGATAGAGTCCAATTCCTTCACCATATGAATGTCTTTCTTACCTTACCCATGCAGATGCATGAGGATCAATTCACTAGAAATTAGTCATTGGATCTCAGATTGACCTACTGCCAGTCAGTCATCCCAGTACTTTAGTCCTCATTGGAGATTGTGTTTTGTAGGTCTCTCTAGCCTTGAAAATAGGCATAGGAGCAGAAGTCATAGAGTTGCATCCCAACCCTCAGTTTGCCGTACCAATCTCCCTGATAGTTATTGCTTGTCAATTATATTTTCCATTTTCAAAACGGGCAGCAGTTGAAATAAGTGTTGAAAATAAACATTCCATATTTCAGTCTGGGTATCCCAGAGAAGCTGAAACAGGCCACTCAGATCTCCTCTTTACCTCCTAGCTGGTGTACTTTTTACATAATGTTCCAATTCTTGTTGCTGCAGATACCACTCCATCACCCTCTGGAAGTTCCTTGCATTGATCCGGGATTTCTTTGGCGGCTCAGAACGAATGGTCCAGCAACTGGCAGGGCAGCGCGTTTCTCCGAACCCTTTTCCATGCTGCTGCTGCTGTTGCCTTCCTGAGATTGCTGCCAATCAGTAAGAGGCATTTTTAGCCTTCCTTACTTTCCCTCCTCTTTTACCACATAGCAAATCGCTCTTTGACCTTCTTCTCTCTGTCCCCCTCACCCACCCTGGCAGAGCAAACTTGCGATGTATGACTGTGGCCGTGTATCAGCTCTCCCTCATCCGGACCATCCTCTTCTTCATCACCCTTATCCTCTGGACTGATGACGAATATGACTACGGTGCTGTGAGTAATTTTGGGCCCTGAAATTCATAGACCATGAGCAAAAGAGAGAACTCCTGTTAACTAGAGCAGGGGTCCCCAACCCCTGGTCTGTGGACCGGTACCAGGCCTTGGCATGCCAGCAATTGGGCTGCACAAACAAGCAAAGCCCCATCCGTGGGATGCAGGCAGCACACAAAACCATGCACTCTCCGGTCCGTGGAAAAACCTTTCTCCACGGAACCGGTCCCTGGTGCCCAAAAGGTTGGGGACCTCTGAACTAGAAAATGGTCAAGAGGCTTTTTCCGTGGGTGGGTGGAAATAATTTATCTTACATGTTTGGTTGATAGACATTTCCATTGGATTGAGATAATTAACATGGTATTACATCTTGCGGAGCAATGAAGCTTGTCTTGGTTATCACCAAGATTTGGCTGAACAAAACAATCTGAGATCAACTATACTTCTATATTGATGTTGTGGATAATACCGTAGTTGTCTCATTTTGAAAGTAATGTATATAATTGACAGCTGTGGAATGCCACAAAATGCCATATTATAGTGTGGAAGGCTCCTTTTCAAGTTTCTCCATTGAATCCCTTCCTGTATTAGTAAATCTGCATCCCAAGGCTATTAAAGATTTTCCCTCCTCACTGAACTTTTTCTTCTACTCCCTGGCTAATAATAATAATAATAATAATAATAATAATAATAATAATAATAATAAGAAGAAGAAGAAGAAGAAGAAGAAGAAGAAGAAGAAGAAGAAGAAGAAGAAGAAGAAGAAGAAGAAGAAGAAGAAGAAGAAGAAGAAGAAGAAGAAGAAGAAGAAGAAGAAGAAGAAGAAGAAGAAGAAGAAAAGAAGAAGAAGAAGAAGAAGAAGAAGAAGAAGAAGAAGAAGAAGAAGAAGAAGAAGAAGAAGAAGAAGAAGAAGAAGAAGAAGAAGAAGAAGAAGAAGAAGAAGAAGAAGAAGAAGAAGAAGAAGCCGGACTTAACAATTGTCAATAAGAAAGACAAAAAAGTCTGGATAGTGGACATGGCAGTGCCTGGAGACAGCAGAATAGACGAGAAAGAATTGGAGAAAATAACAAAATACAAAGACCTACAAATAGAAATAGAAAGACTGTGGCAAAGGCAAGCAAGGGTAGTACCAACAGTAATAGGCGCCTTGGGTGCAATCCCAAAGCAACTAGAGCACCACTTGAACACCATTGGCATTGACAAATTCGCCATCAGTCAATTGCAAAAGGCAGCCTTACTAGGAACTGCTTCCATCCTGCGACGATATTTGTAATACCATCAAACATCCACATCTGCCTATCCCAGGTCCTTGGGAAGGACTCAATAGGTAGACAAAAATGCCAAATCCAGTCTGAATATCTGGCTGAGTGTGCGATGATTAATAATAATAATAATAATAATAATAATCTGCTATCTCTGGATAGTGGACGTGGCAGTGCCTGGAGATAGCAGAATAGAAGAGAAAGAACTGGAGAAGATAACAAAATACAAAGACCTACAAATAGAAATAGAAAGACTGTGGCAAAAGCAAGCAAGGGTAGTACCAATAGTCATAGGCTCCTTGGGTGCAATCCCAAAACAACTGGAGCACCACTTGAACACCATTGGCATTGACAAATTCGCTATTAGTCAATTGCAAAAGGCGGCCTTATTAGGAACTGCCTCCATCCTGCGACGATATCTGTAATACCATCAAACATCCACAACTGCCTATCCCAGGTCCTGGGTAAGGACTCGATAGGTAGACAAAATGCCAAATCCAGTCTGACTGTGCGATGATCCATAATAATAATAATAATAAAGTTGGAAGGATCTTGGAGATCATCTAGTCCAACCCCCTGCTCAGGCGGGAAACCCTATACCATTTCAGACAAACGCTAATCCAAAAACAGTGAAGAAGGAAAGACCCCTGCAGGTTCAAGTGGCCAGTTTTATAACTGATTAAACAGTTTTTAGCTCCAGTAAAAAGGTAAACGTAACAAAACAAATCCATCCTCTTCTTAGATATATTACAGAGTTTTGGAAGAAACTAATACTTTTAATAGTCTTAGCATGTTGAAAAACAGAAGACTTTTCTTATAGAATAACTGTGCACAATATCCTAGGGTTGCTCTAGACTAGAGAGATAATGTTCAGGAACTTTCTTAAGCCAAAAGTTTTTTGGCCTGCCTTTCAAATTCAGGAGGGTTAAAATCAACTTATGCCTTTCTGTGGGTCGCAAGTGAGAAGACCCATAGTGTGTCATGACTTTTTCTCTTCCAGGTGGGCTACACCAATCCCAATTCCTACATCAATGTCATCATAGCCATTTCCACCTTCCTCTCCTTCTATGGCTATTTGCTCTTTTACAAGGCCACCAAGCCAGCCCTCGCGGGCTACAACCTGCGCTACAAGTTTGTTTGCATCATTTTGGTGCTTGTCCTTTGCGGGCTGCAGAGTGGAATCGTGGAAACAATGGGAGCCTTAGGTGCCATTCCTTGCAGCCCTTCTCTCTCACCTGTTACCCGCTCCCAAAGTAAGTCATCTCCATGAGTCACGTGGTTTATAGGTGGAATGGATGGACTTAGAGATGTTTTTCTGACGATACAGCAGCAAACAACTGGCAGACTTTGGCCAATTTTAGCAAGAGTGTTTTCTGTGCCTTCGTTAGCTGGTTATACTGTAGGTTTTTTTCCTTTAGCAGTTGAAAAATGAGGAGCTTAAACATACCAATACATACATACATACATACATACATACATACATTTTAAATTTTTTTGGATTGCTAGCAAAGAATTAAGGGAGACTGGAATAGCTATTTTGAGCTAATTAGCTCTCATCAGCCAGACATACCCTTCTGAGATTCGAACCTGGGCTGCTTGCAAGTTAGGCAAGCAAACATACATGCATACATTAAATTTGTATGCCACCCATTTCACTTTCCAACATCATAAAAAGAATAAAATAAAAACATTAAGAGCTTAGAAATGTTAAACATTAAAAATAACAAAAATTGGGTAAACTAGGAACCAGTATGCCAGTGGTTCTCAACCTGTGGGTCGGGACCCCATTTGGGGTCGAACGACCATTTCACGGGGGTCACCAAACAAGGCTGTCCGCCATTTTTTCCCCCTTTTCTTTGGCCACGCCCCTGGCACCCGGTGATATATAAGTGGTTGGGGGTCACCACATGGGGAACTATATTATGGGATCGCGGCATTAGAAAGGTTGAGAACCACTGCAGTATGCGATCAAGATGGAGCTGGGATCTTCTTAATCCACTAACCACCTCCAGCATGAAACACCTCCATCAGAACCCCAAGCCTATTGGCATAGCCAGGTTTTGAGGCCCTTTTGGAAGGCGCCAAGGACCAGTTCCGTGGACAGTGGTTTTTCCGCAGATGGGAGGGAGGGCTTTTTTTCTCATAGAACGCCCAGAACAGAGTTCTGGCATCTTTTTTGGATGGAATCTTGTAGGGTAGCAAGGCGGGTTGTATGATGTATGTGAGTTCTGGCACCTTTTTCTTTTTTTAAAAAAAAAAGCACTGGGCATGGGTAGCAGCAGCAATGTGCCACCTTGCCTTGTATCTTGGAGTTGCAGAAAAAGGACAGAAGCTCTGATTCTACTCCTTTCTAAGGATTATGCAGGTGCCTGCCTCTTGATGAATAGTTCAAGAGTACAGCTTAAGATCTCGATTTGTCGAAGTTATAAAGCGCATAACGCCTTTTTTGAAGAATTTGTCGTAGCTTTATTTGTTCTACAAATAGAGAAGTTCTGCAAGATCTTTTCTGTTTTCCTTAGGCACTGCCCACACACTTCAAAAGTATTTTTGTGGCTACTTTTACAAAAAGGAAGCTGACTTGCACACACCACCCCATTTTCAGGATTTGTGAGAAATCAAAACACATAGACCCGTGGTGGCGAACCTATGGCACGCATGCCACAGGTGGCACGCAGAGCTCTCTCTGTGGGCACACATGCCATCACCCCAATTCTAGGCCTTCAGCTGGGTTTTATAAAATCTTTTCGCTTTAGGCCTCCACCGCTGTGTGCAAAAAAAAAAAAAAAGGTTAAATCAATCAATCAATTTCAACTTCTCAAGGGAAAAAAAAAAGATCTCACAAAGTTGGAATTGATTGAACTTTTTAGTCCCACCCAGTCTGCCGTTACCACCGCAGCCATGCCAACCCAATTGGCCACACCCACCCAATTTGTCACGCCCACCTGGCACCCGATGATACATAAGTGGGTTTTGGGTTGCAGTTTGGGCACTCAGGTCTCTAAAAGGTTCACCATCCCTGACAAAGACCGTATTCCCTTAACCTGATATCCTCTAGTTGTGTGGTTACACTCCTAGAGGGAATTGAGAGATCAGCAAATAACATCCTTTCTCTGGGCTACCATCACTATCTTCATACTTCTCTTTTATCTTTCCAGTGATCTACTACTATGCTTTGGCCATTGAGATGTTCCTTATTGGCATATTTGCTCATTATTCTTTCCGAAGAGTTGAACCTTCCATGGAAGCTCAGCAGGTCATCCACCATCAAGCCTCCCAGACCCAGGAAGGCCCATCTGGTCGTGGTAGTCCTGCTGATGGTGTATCTGTGGAGGGAACAAACCCTGGCTATCTCTGTGATGAGGCTTTCTGTACAATTGAACATTCTCCCCTAGACCGCTTTGATTTCATTGTAAAGGAGCCTGCGAACAGACAGCAGCAAAACTGGGGGCTTGGCTGCCAGAGAGGAGGAGCCCTGAAGACAGAGGGACTTAGGTTAAGCCTACAACAACCTGGAACTGAAGCATCAAGTGAAATCCAAATTCAATCCCACGTTAGCAAAATGGAAGCAAATGCAGCCTCTGCGGTATAGCCACCATCCTTAGAGGTCAGAGACACAGGGACAGATGAATTCAGAGGTATGCATAACGTCAAGGCATACAGACTAATGTGGAGATATACTGAACTCTAGGTATGACCAGGCAAGAATGTGCATCTGTGTGGAGATATGCCCAGAAATATAATATTGTGGGAGATTTCAGCGCTTCCGTATTAGGTGGAGAAACTTTGTTCTAACCATGGCTAAACTGCCTCAGGGGTGGATTGTGAAGACATGTTGGGAACATAGAGCCATTGTCCTTTTCCCCTGTAACCTCTTTATACTTCTCCTTTTCCTTACTCTTTCTGGAAGCCTAACTTATTTTCTTGTGAAGAATTTTTCAACTGGCATAGGAAATTAAAGGCCGTTCTTGTTCAACATTGTACAACTCTTTGTTTGCAGGACTCATTACACTAAAATACGGCTGGCTACTTTACGGCTTCATGCACCACACAAACCCAGGTTTGTACAAGAGGATAGGATTCAACACACTGAGAAAACCTAGGAATTTGCATTTAATCTGAAGACTATACTTTTGTATGTGCTTTGTTTGAGAGAAAAATTGGCACATAATCCATTGTTGCTGTCATTAAGGTAGAGGCACTTAAAAGAAGCTGAGCAAGAGAAATTAGGAATATTTGATCAAGTCATGAAGAAAATTGCTGATTAAAAGTCTTGGCCACAGGCCACGCTGAATATCTTCCTGGAACCTGTTAAGTTACTTAGTCTAAGAAGGGAGGGAAAGGAGAAATTTTGGCTGGTCTGTACTGAAGAAAGCACTGAAGAAATGATAATTTTTTATTAAAATAAATGCTGCAGTTTTGAGCAATACAATAGGAAAAGGTGCACACTAACCAGAAATTAAGTTAAACATCCTTTAAATTAACAAGAGCAAGCTCATGCGCAGTTTTCATCCCTAGATCTGACATTAAACGAGCATTCAAGTTATCCATTTTCTCACTTTAGAAAAGAACTGACAAAGATGCAATGTTTCAGTTACCTCAATAGGCTTATTACTGTCTGGAGCAGTGGTTCTCAACCTGTGGGTCGCAACCCCTTTGGGGGTCGAATAACCCTTTCACAGGGGTCGCCTAACTAGGAAAACACATATTTCCGATGGTCTTAGGAGCCGAGACCAACCCCTTTGGGGGTCGAATAACCCTTTCACAGGGGTCGCCTAACTAGGAAAACACATATTTCCGATGGTCTTAGGAGCCGAGATACCGCTCCTCTATCCGTATCCGCACAGTTTCAAGCTGGGGGCCGTTGCAGTGCCAGATTCGTTTCTGTCGACATCTCCTAAGGGAGGCTGTGCTGCTTTGCGGCCCTTTCCACGGAGGAGGCTGACCTAAGCTCTGCCGGTGCTGTCGCCCTCTTGGCTCTCTCTCTCTCTCTCCCCCTCTCCCCGCCTGGGTGCTTCTCCAACCAGGCTGGGCAGAGCCAGCGTAGTGGCCTTCCTGCGCCCCTTCCCCGATCAGCTGGAGCCGGGCAGGCCAGCAATCTTTGGAAGTGAGGCGAGGACAGGCAAGGCACGCTGAGCCCTGGGGGCAGTGGGTGAATGGGTGGCGTTGGTACGGGCTTGGAGATCCCTTTGGGTTGGGGGTCACCACAACATGAGGAACTGTATTAAAGGCTCGCGGCATTAGGAAGGTTGAGAACCACTGATCTGGAGTGAAACTACACTCCCCTTCCTAGCTGACTTTCAGTATCTATGATTGAGATAAAGAGCCCTGCAAAAGCGCTCCATCTCTGTGGTTGCTTCAATTGTCACTCTCATGCAGATCTGGAGATCTTGGAGTAGGACAAACTGAAAAAGGGACGAAGAAGAAGTGACCGTGGTTTCAACCATTACAAGTTCTCCCCTTTGGAAAAGGGGGGGGGGGAAGGCAGGAAGTGGGAATGAAAGAGGCAAGATTCTCAAGCTGCTCTGTAACAACCAGGCTGTCTAACATGATGGTCCTGCACGAAAGCCCTGGCCAATCTCTTGTTATATGCAGTCTCCTTCTGAAGTCTGCTGCTGGATAGCCAGGTTGTCTAGGATTATGTGTATATATTGGAAGGGCAAAGTTCTTTTGCATTTCAGTATGACTCCGAAGGCCTGTTGTAGTACTAATGTGTCCTGAGAACAAGCACCCTCAAAGGTCCAACTCTCCAGACAAGCTCATCTTTTCTATCTTTGCTCCTTCAGAAGATAAAATGTAGTCTTTCAACCTGACAGAGGGTCAGTGTAACACAATCCTGTGATTGTGTTACATTGACAGTTCCTCCAGGGCATCTACGACCTCAGTCTCTGAAGGAAAATTTGAAGCCCCTGGCACTGAAAGCTGAGGGTGGGGCCCTTGTTCCTTGGTAAGGAGGTTGTGTTTCTTTAAGAAGCAGGCTTCTTCGTAGGCAGGACGGATAGGCGGCTGGGTCGGGGGCACGTAGGTATACTCCTTCTCAGGATCCAGCTGACCCCATGGGAGAAAGAGAAAGGCTTACATTAGCTCATCTAGGAAGCTGCTCCTGGTTGGAACGCCGGACTCCCAACATTACTTCTTTTTCAACTTTCTCTCTGCCTGCTGTCAGACTTCCTTGACAACAGTTCTAAGGCAGGGGTCCCCAACTCCCAGTCCATGGACCAGCACCGGTCTGCGTCATGCATGCAATCGGGCCATGCAAACAAGCAAAGTCCCATCTGTGGGATGCAGGCAGTGCATGAAACCATGTCCCCTCCAGCCCATGGAAAAACCTCTCTCCGTGTAACTGTCCCCGGTGCCCAAAAGGTTGGGGGGGGGGCTGTTCTAAGGCACCAGAGCTCTTGTCCTGTGAGTGGATTCAAACACTTGGCACTAACTGTAGGTACCCCCACCACCCCTTTGCTGGAGAAAAGGGTTGCAAATATTACTTCCGAGGCTGGACAAAGAATGGGATCTGCATCTATCTATTCAAACCTGCTGCTTAGTTACTGGATTTACATTTTTCACAAATAAAAGCTCAACAAGTCTGGTTCATGTGAAAATGACTTTTTGGATGGGCCATCTCTGCTTATTTCCAGATCACCTGCTACCCCAGCAGGGCACCAGGTCTTACCTGTAGCGGGTAGGTCCGATCGGAATCATAAGCACTCAGATCGCCACAAGCCAGGAAAGGGACAATGACCCGATTGGGACCTTCCAGCTGATTAAAATCCACATCTGTAGTGGAGAGAGATCACAAAAGCAAGAAGACAAATATTACTGTCTTTACACACTTGCCTGCCACAGGACCTCCTTCTAATTATTGTCCTTGCCTAAATGTTCATAGATTTGTTCTACTTGTGCTTCTCTTCCACAATTGAGGAAGTTTCTTGCAATCCAAAAATTTTCTTAGGAAAATTTTTAGGGCAGAGGTAGTTTTTGTGGCAATTTGTGTTCTGATGTTTGTTTAAAGAAACAATAAGCAAATTTTCTCCCTCCTCCTTCCTAACTTCTCATATTTGTCTGTGTGTACCCTTTAACTAGGTAAAATGGTGCATTGCTGGGCAACAGGTTTTGAACCAAGGTACCTCAAAGGTTGTCTAATTTTCCCTAAAATATTGAGGGCAGTTTACATTAAACTGCATTATAATCTAGGCTCACAATTAAGGTCTGGACAGCAACAACTGCCCAGGTTAATCTCTTGCTGGTTGGAAACAGCAAAATTGAGCCAGTATAATTTGCTTTCTGGTTCCTCCACCCAAGAAGCTTCCTTCTTTCACCAAAGATTCTTTCCTCGACTTTTAGTTTCTCAAGATGTTTCAACTGATTTCAAGATACCAAACAAGTTGCTGCTCAAAGTTCCCCGAGAAAAAGAATAGCATAAGCCCCTCCTTAATTCCCAGCAGCAGCAATTAATCAAGGACCATACAGTCAAGATCATCTAGGCCAGTGTTTCTCAACCTTGGCAACTTTACTATGTGTGGACTTCAACTCCCAGAATTCTCCAGCTAGCAATGCTAGCTGGAGAATTCTGGGAGTTGAAGTCCACACATCGTAAAGTTGCCAAGGTTGAGAAACACTGATCTAGGCCAACTTCTTTCCAATGCAGGGAACCAATTAGTATTGCATCTCAGATAGATGGCCATCCACCTTCTGCCTAGAAGCCTTTAGGGTACGGAAATCTGCTACTTCTCAAGAGAATGGCATCAATCACTCCCAGAATCTCATCACTCACAATGTTCCTACAAATAACTTGAACCATTCACCCCCTTTTTTCAGCATACTTCTCCCACATTTCCCAGCATATCGTCATCAACAATACCCTCTTCTCTTCAAGGTTTCTTACCGTAACAATGATCCAATAGGGGATTGGACATGTTTGGCACATAACCTTCAGGGGGACTATAGTTTCGGCAAACAGCAAAGGCTTCTGAAAATGGAAAGGAAGTTAAGGCTTTGCATGCCTCTTCTTCAGTTCCCTCAATTAAGTCACAGAAGAGTGCAAATAATTTACCTCTATCTGCCTAAAATAAAGCTACACTCTGCACTGAAGCAGTACACATACTGTACAGCAGGGGTCTTCAAACTTGGCCCTTTTATGACTTGTGGACTTCAACCCCCATTATTTTTATGAATTATCCTGACTCAGATCCTTTCACACTTAGGAATTAGGCATAAGGCTACAGAAGTGAGATGTGATGGTAACACTAAATGGCAAGTCTACAATTATACGTACAAATAAATTAAAAATTATACCTCTTAAAAATATAATGGAATCATGGGTAAAATATGGGAGTTTTTTGTATTGAAGCAAACAGGGACCAAAGTCACTGAATTAAATCCAGAAAAACTATTCAGAAATTAAAAGATACAGATACAAATTAGGTCTCAAAAGAATTATGTTTTCCCACTCAGAACTGAATGCCAATACAATTGGTTTGCATTTAAGATCTCAGTATGTATGCTTTATTCTACACCCACAAAATATTTTTTTTATTTTAGAACAGTGATTCTCAACCTTTCTAATGCCGTGACCCCATAATACAGTTCCCCATGTTTTGGTGATCCCCAGGGGCGTGGCCAAGTGGGTGTGGCCACCAAGTGGGCGTGGCCACCATGTTGTGGTGACCCCCAACCATAAAATTATTTTAGTTTCTATTTCATAACTGTAATTTTGCTACTGTTCTGAATCACAATGTAAATAATTATTTGGATGTGATTTGAAGTTTGTGTAATGAATTGAAATGAGGTAAGGTTTAACATTGTTTCTTTTTTTAAAAAAAGAAACTGGTGATTAAAAGAGGGATGAGAGAGATTAAGAACTTGAACATATCTGGAAGAGATAATTGAAGTGATAATCTGTTGAAGTAAAACAATATTTGATTATGGAAATTGTAAATTGATAAAGTCTTAAAACAGGTTTAGTAGTAACAGAAACTTAAACTAGAAATGGAATACCGTATTTTCCAGCATATAAGACGACTCCCAACTTTTGAGAAGATTTTCAGGGTTTAGGATTCTAAACCCTGAAAATCTTCTCAAAAGTTGGGGGTTGTCTTATAGGCCGTAAAATACGGTATTTCCTAGTTTGATGTTGCCTAGTTTGGTAATGAAACATCTGCAAGAAAACACAGAGATCACCAAACCACAAACCAGAAGTCATAGGCAGCACATTGCAGAAGTTACCAAAACTGTATCAAAGATCTGTATCTCCAGATCACCAGTTGATAGCATCAGTTGAGGAAAATTCTAATCCACACATCAAGAGGGCATCCAGGTGAAGAAGATTCATTCAGGAGGAAAGGAAAGCAGACTGACACCATTTGACTGCACAATCAGCTCAGCTAGTTGACTGGCTCCCTCCCAACCCCTTATTGATCTCAGACACTGATTCTGGGCCAAACACAAGGCAAGCAAAATGCCATCAACATACTGATGCCACCTCCTTCCAAAGTCCAAGCTGATTTCTTTGATGATTTGTTTGTACTTGGAAAAAAGCAGAGTAGAGGAATATTTTTTAAGTGGATCTGAGTCAGTGGGAGACAATGGAAGGTTGCAGAACCAATTCTGGGTATCTGCAGCTCTGTATCTGGTGGACATGGCCACCCCCAAATGACACAGGTTGTAATTAGAAAAGAAACCATTTCTCTGGATATTTCTAGGAAAACTACAAAGGTGACTGGAATTACTTTTAAAATAGTCAAAAGAGTCTCAACTTAAGCCAAGATTTACTGATGAAAAAGTTGCCAAGTGTAAACCATGCATCACAAGCTTCTTTTGGAAGAGAACAAAGTCAAAAAGAAAAAAGAAAAAGAAAGCTCTTTAAAACAACCCTTCAGACAAGAAAGGATTTTATCACTATGCTTAAAAAATAAAAATCCATTAGTAATACTATATCACTGTTGCTTGCAAAGGGCTCCCCTTTATGCCAAACTAGGCACCTGATGAACTCTGGCAAGACCAATCAACTGTGTGTAAACATCTTGAAGGCTTTGGGATGTTGAAAGGGGTGATTTAAAAACCACACCAAGCCTCTGTATCAAAGGCCAGTTTTCCCACCATGAGGCAAATGCTTCTTACCACCCACCTAGAAGAAGCCCACCAGTAGCAATTTCCAAAACGCCCAGTGTGCCAGCTACGCATTCTGCCAGGAGCCTAAAGATCGGAGTTCAAGAAAACCCACATGATAGATGAGCTCTCCCGTGTGGACATCCCAGCTTGCAAATCATCCACGCCGTTCAACCCAAGACCGACAGGCCGTGCCCCCTCTCAACTTCTGAAGGCAACAACACCCTCCTCTGCCACCCAGAACCCAAGCTCTTTCCCAGGGAGACCAAAGTCTGCTTAACCAGCTGCAGGAGCAGAGCACACACAGTGTCCTCAGCTGCCCCTCCAGCCTACTTTGCCGGCTTGCCCTTTGCCAACCAGGCGCTCCAGATTTTACAGGTGATACCTCCCGGTAACAAGGGGGACCTTAATTTCTCCAGATGCCACAATCTGTGGGCGGTCGGCTACAAGGAGCAGAGCACGAACAGCGCTGAATGGAGAGAAGCAAGCGGGGAGTGGAGTACGTGAAGGGGGCGTGACCAGGGCAGCGGGCAGAGGGAAGGGGCGGCTCCAGAGGCAGGGGCGGCGCTCAGAAGCCACCGACGGCTCAGATACCGACTGCACTTCCATGGCTCCTGCCTGCCTCAGCTTCCAGAAGATTGTCCCGGCCCCGCTTTCCTCACTCCGTGGCCGGCTTTAGGCGCCCTCCATCCCCAAGGCACACGCCAAACACACCACAAAGACCGAGTCTCTCTCGCTCAACCTACCAGTCGCCAGCAGGAGCGCCGCACGGGGACATGCTGAGGAGGCGGCGTTGGCAGCTACGAGGAGCAGAGCGCGAACAGCGCTGAATGGAGAGAAGCAAGCAGGGAGTGGAGCGCGCAAAGGGGGCGTGACCAGGGCAGCGGGCGGAGGGGAGGGGCGGCTCCGGAGGCAGGGGCGGCGCTCAGAAGTGAGGGAGGGGGCAGTGGCGAGACGAGCCCAAAACAGAAACCTGGAGAGCGCAGCAGGCGGCGAGGGGAGGGGCCAGAACAAAGAGAGAAGCGGCTGGGAAGCCGGAGAAGCGAGGAAGATGCAGGGATTTCTACGATATGATGCAAAAAAAAAAAAGGACAGCTAGGGAAAAGGGAAAAAAAATGGCGGACAGCATGGTTTGACGACCCCCGTGAAATGGTCGATCGACCCCAAATGGGGTCGTGACCCATAGGTTGAGAACCGCTGTTTTAGAAGATCAAAGAGGAAGAAAAAATATGTCCAGTTCATGGGTAATATATGTGATCAGGGGAAATTCACAGATTATTTATAGCATGGTTGACATCCTCCTTCTAGAACGGCTCAGTTTTTCAACTATTTGCCTGGAAATAGATGGATGTTTATTTTGAGATGAAAACTAGGATTTTATTAAGTTTTCAAATGAGCAATAAAAATAATACAATTAAAGGAAAAAAGGACAAAAGTGCAAGAAAGTAAGAAAAGCAAAATAAATAGCCTCTCCCCCTATGACCTCCCATCCTCTACAATTTTTTTTCACTTCCTCTCAGTTAATGAATATAAAACTCTTTATCCCAGATCTTATTTCTTATCAATAGCTAAGTAACATCATTTCCAATCTGATTATCTGCAAAACATCCAGAGCTCTAAAATATTAGCATTAACATATATTAACAACCCATATCTTAATGTTTCTGTAATAAAATCCCATTTAAAAGCATAAAATAGCCTTACACAAACAAAATAAAAAAACCCCAAAATTTAACTCATCACAGAGGCCTTTTCTCTTCACAAAATACAAGTATATATATATACAGTATTTTTCCCCATTATAAATAGCAATACTTCCAAAAAAGCTCACCTCAAATAGCAATTTGTCCTATTGAAATAAACATTCCACATCTCAACCATAACCTATAACCATATCAATATTTATATTTATGAATCCCAGTATCCCAATATAAACAAAAGAATGAGATTTAGCATAACAGAGAAACATAATTTCACCTTTAAAAAAAGTTCACCAGGCTTTCTTACTTTGAATAAAAAAATGATTAAATGCAAAGCCAGTTTAAGTGCTATAAAATTTAGATACATAAAGTAACTATAGTGAAAAAAATGTTAACACCTTATTAAATGTAAGCAAGTCCAATATATCCCATTTTTCCAGTTATCAATGAATCCAAAATGAGCTACCCAAAGTAACAGCATATCTATGATTCCATTAAAGCTTTCCAATTCTGTCAGATTTGATGCACGTTTCCCCATGAAACAAAAAATGGTCAATATGCATGCAAGAAGCAGTCATGTAAGAAACTGTTACTCACCAATGCTAGAGTTGCGACTACTTCGGGGTTTGGCACATGTCACATCAGGGAAGAATATCTTCAACTGGGAATAGAGAAGAGTGACATCCTTCCCTCGGAATATCTGAAATGGGAGAACAAAATGCTACATCACACTTGGATTAGCTGCGTTGTTACATTGTCACACAAACTACAGAAACTGAATGAGAAGTAAGGAGTTCTTAGGGGTATAATGAATCCAGGAGCAGAGGCAGAGAGAGAAATCGAGTGCACCTCCAGAAGAAATGTAACCTGTCAGCTAGGTGCAGTAATTTAGTACTTCTGGCAGTCATCCCAATCTGAGGTTCTGTGCTTCCAAGATCACCAACCCATCAATTACAATGGAAATGGCAAAATACAGTACTGAAACTTTCAGAGGTCTTCATCGAACGATACAAGTCATACAGTTGCAACTCTTTGGATACTGGTGACCAACAGCTCCCAACAGCCCAAGAGAGCATGGGCAAATAAGTTTGCACATGATCTGAAGTCCTATCAAAGTTACTTTGCTAATTAAGTTTTGGAAGTACCTGCTGTTTCCCAGATCGTTGCTGAAATAGGTGAAATCCACCTTGATCTGACTGACAGCAGATTCGGACTGCACTTGCCCACTGAAATCCACCACATTTGCTTCAGCACTGAATCAGTTAATTCTCTAAGGCAAGAACTAGTGTTGGAAAACTACTATTCACTTTGCTGTGCTGCTGGATACAAGCAGGCTTGAATAAGTGATACCCAGAAGTGCTTTGTTACATCCAATGATATTCTTCATCTGCATGGCTCACCTTAGCTACAAATGTCCCCCCTTTCTTTAAGACATGCATAGTAATGTTCAAGGCCTGGATAAAAGAGGAAAAAAGAACATCAGTGGGATGGCTAATTCGGATGAAGTATTTTTAAGTACAGTTCTAGGATCTGCTGGTGTTTCTATGGCAACAGAACTACCACTATCTCATTATACTTTGGAAAAGAGGAAGAAATTTAGAAAAAAAAAACAACCTTCAGTAGCATCTTATGTGGTTTGCTTTAGTCATCAGACATGGGAATAAAATTAGAATATACCTACAGCAAGCAACAGTTGGGCTTGGATGTACTCATCTATATCATGGAGTCCAGTCACTGCAAGAGCAAAAGAAACATTCATTATGGCTACCAAATGCAGCTTCTCCCCATTCTACAAGAAAACAGATGTCAGCCTGCCAAAGTTGGTAATCCGTGATAAGGTTGAGACCTACCGTCAGGGGCTCCATCACATACAACCAGATCGGCTGGTTGCCCCTCAAAATGATGAATGATTTCCTGAGCTGTTGAAACCTAGAAAGAGAAGAGGACAAAGAAGAACAAGGGGGATTTTTTTAAAAAAAAAAAATAGGGCTCATATTCTGCCCTGGGTTAGGATGGGAGCAGAACATGGGGTTATTTCCTATACGGCTTCATTAGATAACACGTACCTTGGTGATGTCCCCTTGGATTTGAATGACTCCTGGCAATGGAGCCATGGCTTGCAAATCTACTGCCACTATTTTGATATCTGCATTTTTGGGATCTTCTCCTCTGGAGAAAGGGAAAGAGGAGAAAGTAGGATGATGTTGTTCTCTCCCTGAGAGGCATAACCTTCCACCACCCTGAAGGCAAATAGTTTCCTTACTTGAGCTTTCGGCTGAGAACTTGACTCCAGCTACCAGGTGCTGCACAAAGATCTACAGCCCGGGTGACACCTGGAAAGGGCAAAAGAAGAAGAAATAATTGCATTATTGCAATACAACTGTCAGGAGGAAAACCACAAAACATAAAAGTGACACCAAGTATGCTTTGTAAAAATTCGTAAAAAAAATTGTAAAATTTTATAAACAATTTGTAAAATTCGTAAAAATTCCAGAGGGCTTATCTCTGCCTCCCAAATAGCATTATTTTTGCTGTGAACAAGTAGCTTTCTGCACATGTTCAGTGGTAATATTTCTTTCCTGGATAGCTTGCTTATTTCAAAGTAATCATCACAGTTAATGTATGAGGCTTGAAGTACAATTTCATAAATCTTGAAACATAAGGACTGATTGATAATTATTTATATTCTGTCTTCTGTAGCAATCTTAACTCCATGAAATTAGGATCCACAACACATGGTAAAGCCATTCTTCTTTTAATGGAAAGATGCTAATGCTTATAGAGTTAGGATTAAGAATGTGGAGATCCAAGTTCAAATCTCTACTTGACCATTCCTGAATTACTTTTGGTCTGTTATTATCTCTCAATCCAGCTGACTTTCAGGACTATTGTGAAGATAATGTTGTAAGTCAGCACCCACCCACCCTTCTAGAGAAGGAAATATTTGGGGGAATATTAAAAAAAGGTAGAATATTATATTTCCCCAAAGGATCTTAAAGGCAGAAAAGCAGATTTGATAATCCTATTCAGAAAGACTGAGGCCCCATTCACAAGCAAATATTACCTGCAGAAGCCCATTCAAAATAGAATCTTTTGAAATCCCTTGGAGCAAGATTTGATAGCTAATAAGAGCAGAGTGATAGGATTAGAACCAGCAACCCCTCACCCAAAAAATCCAACATAGGATATAGCCATCAGCCCCAGCCCCAGGGAAGCAGGACATGACTTTTACGACATAATAGGATTAACCCACCATTAGAATACCAAAAGGCACACTCAACCTCAGGTCAAAGTTTATTGCATAAGAATAGGCTCAAATACAATGCCACAGGAACAACTCCAAACACAAAAGTCCAAGAAGGTATAAAAACCCACCACGCCCAGCTCCATTTTGTCAGCCACCCCAGAAACATGCTGCTATCACTGAAGTTTCTGGCAACAAAATAAACAACAACCTTCTTTCCAAACAGCCTCCATTTTGCTTATTCCTGGCTTGGACTGGACCTGAAGATTTTTCTTTCAACAATATAGAGAAGATCATGTATGACCCTTATGTTCTTGAAAGAAAGATAATAGCTAAAAGTGTTAAATCCCTTTGATAGGTTCATGGGATAAGCCATGGATCTAAAATGTGTCTTTGGCCTCAGTGCTCATACATACCTTCCAATGCAGCCCCTTCAAAGCACTGGTGGGGGATGGAATTATACTTTAGTATGATACATCTGGAAAATAGTAGATCAGGGGTTCTCAACCTTGGCAACTTTAAGACTTGTGGACTTCAACTCCCAGAATTCTTCAGCCAGCTTTGTGGCCAATTTATGATGTAATTTGCGAGCATATTTTTTCCCTACCTTTAAATAAGTGATATTCTTCATCCAGCTGAAGAAGTTTGAATGCACTACGAGCTCGCCACCCTTCTTCCTTGGCCAGACGGTAGTAAATATCACGTTTGTCTTTGGAGGAGCGTCCCATTTTCCCTTAGGTATGGCTGGTGACTGTGGTAACTCTTAAAATACCTTCGGATTTCGAATGCAAGTTACACAACACGCGTCACCGAAAACGTATCCCCGCGCTCTGCCGCAAAGCTCCAGGACAGTCGCAACAGTTACCCGTAGCGAGTTAACTGTACTGCGCTGCATCCTGGGAGTTGTAATGTCTAATTCTCCCGGTTTCGAGCGCTGAATGAGAAGATAACGTTCTAAAGGACTCCGTTTCCCAGGGTGCCACGGAACGCCACGTGATCGGAAGCGGGGTGAGGACTAGATAGTGAATGGAAGATGGCCGAGGAAAGAGAGAAGCTAGTCGGTGTGCCAGCAGTTCCGGTGTCGTTCAGTTTTTCCCGAACGAGCGGACGGAAGCGGTTTCTCCATATAACTGGGCAGGATGGCAAGGAAGCGAAACAGGAACCCGATTTCCTCTCCGCTGTTGAAGGGAAAGAATTGCAAAGGTGTGGATTCAGCGGGGGCAGGTGGGGGTGATGGGTGAGGCCGTGCGGTTCGGATTAAGCAGAGAAGATCTGTCGTGCGGAGGCGGCTTCGTGTCCGGGCTTGGCGGACACTGTGTCGTAAGCCTTTTGCAAATTGCTGGGGATGAACTCCCCCCTCCCCCGTACCGAAAGCCCCGCATATAGAAAGCTGCTAGGTCAGGAAGATGGATTCTGCCATGGGTCTCTTCCCAGAGCCCTCACTCTGTTGTGGAAGATTTGTTTCCGTTTCAGGTTAGGAAAGAATGTACAGTACTCGATCGTGTGAGCCGCTGCTGGAAGAGGGTAGACCAGATACAGTTTCCCTACTATAGTGAGGATCAGTTAGTGCTGCCTAAGTAATCCTATAAGTTTAATTGTTTAATCCTGTAAGTGCAGCAGCAGCCAAAAAAAGCTAATACAATCCTTGGTTGTATAAACAGAGGCACAGAAGCAAAATCACGTGAAGTATTAGTACCGCTTTATAAAGCCTTAATAAGACCACACTTGGAATACTGCATCCAGTTGTGGTCACCACATTACAAAAAAAGATGTTGAGACTTTGGAAAAAGTGCAGAGAAGAGCAACTAGGGTAATTAAAGGTGTGAAGACAAAAACATAAGAACGATGGCAAGATTTGGGTTTGGATAGTCTAGACTAGAGAAAAGAAGGACATGGGGTGACATGATAGCAGTATTACAGTATTTGAGGGATTGCCACAAAGAAGAGGAGGTTAATTTATTTTCCAAAGCACCAGAAGGCAAGACAAGAAACAATGGATGGAAGCAAATGGAATTAAGGAAAAACTTCCTAACAGTGAGGACAATTAACCAGTGGAACAGCTTGCCTTCAGACATTGTGGGTGTTTCATCACTAGAGGTTTTTAAGAAGAGATCAGATTACCACCTATCTGAAATAGTGTGGGGTCTCCTGCTTGAGCAGGGAATTGGGGTCCCCAACAGGTGTCCTCAACCCCCAATCTATGGATCAGAACCGGGCCACAGCATGCCAGAAATTGGGCCACACAAACAAGTGAAGCCCCATCCGCGGGATGCAGGCAATATGTGAAACCATGCCTCCCCTCTAGTCCGTGGGAAAACCTCTCTCCATGGAACTGGTCTCTGGTGCCCAAAAGGCTGGTCCCTGATGCCCAAAAGTCCCTTCCAGCTCTATTCTGATTGATTGATTGATTGATCAATTACATCCCATTGTATAGCCTGCAACTTCCTGCCAACTGAGCACCCAAAAATCTGTTATCTGTTATTCGGATAAGGTTCCAGTCTGTCCTTTATTAATGTACAGGACAAGGAAAAGAGTGAAGGGATCATAATATAAATTAAAGGTATGTTTTGTCTTTTGTGGAACAAGGATGTTACTGTAAATGCAGTGATGTTAATTGCTTGTCATTTCAGCAAATCCATTACAAGTGGTTCTTTATTTCTTTTTTGCTTCCAAAAAGTTTGTGCCTGCCATTCACAGGCAAATCAAATGCATCTACTTATTTTGACCATCTTGTGTTCTTTTTCATGCCAAACAGGTTAAGGTTATCAATTAATGCTTGATAGTCATCTCTGCAAATTTATCTACCCATGCCATATCACAAGAAGGATTGGTTATTGGTTATGTCTGTAGCCAGGAAAAGCTTTTTGGACATGAGATTTTAAGTGTAGTGATGGGCAAAAAAGGAACAGGAGCTGTAGAGGTTCCCTCCATCAGTGTAATTCATTCTTACACATTAAGTAACCATTACTTTCTTCCTGAGCCAGTTGCCTAAGTTTCCTTGCAGTGTGAAGCAATAAAAAAGAGTGCAATTTATGAAGTTTTTGCTGTAAGCTCAAAGTGAGTGTATATTTTAAATACTTATTATGCATGTATTAAGTATTACTTGGAAACTTTGGTCTCCAGACTGATGTAATTTCTTTAAAATCTGACTTTTTTTCGCTGGCATATAGTAAGGGCCATAGTTCTGTGAGAGGCTAGTGCTTGACTAGTTTAGCCTCTTGAAACGTCTCCACAAAGTATGTGAATAGAAAAGTCCCAATCACAATTTTTATTGACACTCTTTCTTTCCCTGCAGTGTTCGACCAGCCCCTCAGCCAAAAGAGCTTGTCATTCCCTTGATCCGAAAGAATCAGTGGAAGAAGCCTGAGGTGTCTGCAACCCATCAGGAGCAGGATGGGATGAATGGTGTTGATGCACAAGCAGTCAAAGAACTCATTGAAGGTTTATTTATTTATTTATTTATTTATTCTCATTGAATAAATCACAGAATTGCAACTTTGTCCACTAGTAAAAAACAACATGAGAAGCTCTTTTTTCAGTTTATAATTACAGGAACCTGGTATGGCAACTTGTAATGGGCTAATTTTAAGACTATGGAGAAATCAATAGAGTGTTTGCCAATGATGTTGCTGGAAAATGATTCTGACCTCTGTCAGAACATGGAGCAGGGATACCATAAGGACCACTAGTATCTCAAAGTTTTAGCCTGAACCTCCCTTCCCTAAGCATCCCTATCCACGAGAAACATAAATTAGCATAATTGGGAGGAAGGGATGATTTGCAGTTTTCTTGCTATGATGTATGTCCATATCATTAACTTTACCAATTCTCCACTTGGTGAAGTTAAGACTGATACTGCTGGACATCACCTGATGATTATGTATTTTATTCCTGACCATCACATGATTGATTGTTATTCATTAGCTTATATGTTGCCCTTGCAGGAGCTCAGGATAGCACATAGCTTACAGCCATTAGTTTAGCAACCATTCAAAGTTATTCAGTGCATTTTTGAGCACTAAAAATGATTTACAACTGGTCCTCGCCCTTACAACCATTACAGCATCTCCATGATCATGTGATCAAAATGCAGATATTTTGGTAGCTAGCATGGATTTACAATGGTTGCAGTATCCTGGGAATAGGATTGCCCTTTGTGACTCTTCTGGCTGTTTTCCTCCAAGCAAAGTCATTGCAATGAGTCACTTAACTGCCAAAAAAGGTCATAAAATTGGTGCAACTCAATAACTTTTATCCCAACTGTGGCCATAAGGACAACCTATGTAGCACTCTCCACTTCTGTTTTTCTTCACAACAAATCTATGAGGTAGATTAGGCAGAAAGAGAGAGAAAGAAAGAGTATCTGTCTCAAAGTCACCTATTGAATGGTGATTCATGAATGGAGATGATTAATTTCCCTGCTTTCAGTTTATCACCTTAAGTACTACACCAGACTGGCTTTCTGTTGATCTGCACTGGCCTGACAGTGTCTTCTGTTTTATTCTGTTTTTCTCTTAGAAATGTTCACTTAAAAAAAAAAAATCCATTGAGAGATGTTTTTGCTTTCATTCCATTTAATTGTTCTTCTAGTTCCTTTTTAGCATCCCAGCCCCTCTAAATCTACAACGCTTAGATCCAGTGACCTTTTTTCTTTGCAGTAACTCCCATTAATGGTAATATCATTGTACATCCCTCTCTTGTTCCATATCTTACTTTTTTCCCCCTGAGCACTGGGATTATTGCTTTATTGTATTATTATAAAACATAAGTACTGCATAGAGCAGTTTTTGGGATCCCCTAGAATGGCTCATGTTACACTGCTGCTCCATGTTTGTTTCTGGGTGCAGTTCAAGGTGTTGGTTAAGGCATTTAAAACCCTCCATGGCAGGGCGCCTGGTTACTTGATGAAGCATCTTGTCTGCTGAGACAGGCCGCCCCACTTCTGCCGGCAGGGGAGGCATGCTGTGGATCCCATTGGTCAAGGAATTCTGTCTGGTGGGCTTCAGGAGAAGAGCTTTCTCTGCCGTAGCCTCTGCCCTCTGGAACTTCCTGCCCCCCACTCTCCTGTCCTTCAGTAAGAGCCTGAAGACCTGGCCTGGGGACCCAATGGGGAGAACCACAATGGACGTGGTTATTGGACTAATAATATGTCCCACCTCCCTCCCAGATGCATCCTGCTCCCTCCCTGCCCATCTTTTAATCATATTGCTGTACTTTCATTGTTGATTTTCATTGTTTCATTATTTTATTAATGTTATACTTACATTTTTTTTTATCATTTAACATTTTTAATGCACAGGGTGTAAAGAGTAGCCCTGCAAAAGATGGGTGGGCAGCAAATACATTTTAATAATAATATATTATTTGGGTATGGTGGTATTTATACAGTGTTGACTAGAGATTATTAACACTCTAATATTTAGATAACTTAAACATTAAGCTTCGGAAGAGTTAATTGTCTAGAGGTATTCTTTGTAAGTATGCAGTTGAACTATAGCGCTGTATACTTTATGCTTGCATACTAACTTTCTGTTAGTTGTTGATGTATCTAAATTAATACCAATGCTTCTAAGCCACAAACAAAAAATCTGGTTATTGTAGGAGTTGTGAAGTATGCAATCTGATAAAATAGATACTTCACTGCTGCTTTCCTGGAAAATCTCTTGTAATGAACATCCAAATCAGTTTGGATTTGAGTGGCTTTTAATTTCTCCCCATTGGACCTAGGAAACAAATATTTGACTCTGAGTTTTCTTGACTTCACTCTTATGCTTTGGTTAACTGCTGTTTAGAATCTAAGAAATCCCAGGAACTATGGGAAAGTGGAAGCAAGATAGACCCCAACTTTGCAATTCCTCTCCTCATGGT